CACTTTATTAGGTTCACCTGTTTGATTCCTTGTCTATTTAGCGAATCACATGGCAGTAACTCTGCTTTCCTCTCTCCTTCCAGTTTGCCCGGAGCTGTGAGTGTTTCAGAGGCGGTAACTTCCAGAGCAACATCGCGAGCTTGTCTCGACTCAAGCGGAGCGAAGCCCAAACTCGGCTGCCCGAAAGACAACTGGCACAGGTAGGCTGATTCTCTGGGAGACGCTCGATCACAGGAACAGACAGTGTGGATACTTGTGTCCATCATTGTGAGCTTTTTTCCACTGAGTCAGAAAAGAAGAGGAGGCACGTTTCGTTCTATCAGTTCCATCCTAAACACAGCCTCAGGACTCAGACACTCTGGTTCGACTTTTCTTAACTGGTGGATGCTTTAACTGTTCTAATCCAGTGGAGTGTAATGGTTTTTATTCAGCGTCATTAGGAAAAAAACAGGCTAAACTGGTTATTTTAACTCTAAGCTGAGTCATAAAGTTTAAGTCAGGCATTGTTTGCTTGTTTAATAAATACGTGAACACGTGAGGAGGAGATCTAACCCTCGTGTTTAGTGTTTTGTTTTGTTTTTTGTTCTAAAAACAACCTGTGAAGGTTGTGAATGTTAAGATGTGGCAGTCTGTGGAGAAGTATTCATTCATGCCAGTGATATTCCAACACTGGTGACTTTTTGGTTTTTACAGCAAAGAGTAAATGATTAAATGAAACTGACTAACAGAGCAGTAACCAGCTGCCTCTCCAGCTGGTGGCCTTTCTTCTGATGTGCAGCATCTGTGAGCTCGGCACAGTGGCACCGGCGCTCCGCCTGCTGCAGGTTCTGGTTACAGTGGCTCTTGATCTCAGAGCAGATCCTCAGAACAGAACCAGGACTGCAGATGCTAGCTGTGATCCAGGCTGATGGAGATAAAAGTCTGTCTGACATCAGGGGTTGGGTGGAATTGTAGCTCAGAGGTCAGCAAACATCTGGACTGAAAAATAAGAGCGAGGGTTTTTTCTAAGGTCAGACTTTGTGTTGTGTCTTTCAGGTGACGCCTCTTTTCTCGTTGAGTGTTTATTTTGGAGTTCTTCTTTGTGATATTTGATTTTCTCTCTCGTCCTTTTAGCTGCATGAGGAAAACTTCCAGAGGAGCGTCCAGAACACAGCGCCGTCGCAGGTCCAAGTCGCCCATCCTCCACCCACCAAAGTTCACCTACTGCAGCACCTCCGGAGCGTCTGCACTGTCGCCCCCTAGTGGTTGCCCGAAGCACCAGCGCCTGGCCGCGCCTGAGTCTGCCCCACCTCGTCCGGCAGCAGACGGACTAGCTGCCTCGCCCGTGGCCATCCCGGTCCCAAAAGAGCACTCCTCTCCAGGCTCACCCGGGCATGTCCCCACTCTGGTTTTTGGATCCTGTGCTGCTTATGAGACGCATATTAGAAGCGTGGCTTCCCCACAGTCCTCACAAGAGATCCCCACTATCATCACCGCTACGTCCGGGCTGGCCGGAGGAAAGTCGAGTGAGGACAGCAGCCCGCAGAGCAGCGAAACCCGAACGGGAACATCCCCGAGATCCAGACCGGCAGAGGCTGCTGACTTCCGAGCTCTGTCCGAACTCCACAGTGGCAGGTCTGCCGAGGGTCCCCACGCCGCCTGTTCCTGTGCCCAGAGAAGCAGCTCAGAGTCTCAAGAGGACGGCAAGCAGGGGGTCGAGTGTCAGTGCCATCATCAAGGGTGGCACGGTGTGGAAGTCTACTCCTTCACGGGGCTCCGCGACGTCATATCGGAGTGTGAGAGGAGCCTGCCGAGCAGCGAGGAAGCATCCAGAACTCTCAGCTGTAACGCGGCGGCGTCTCCGGCGCTGTCGTCAGGCTCCCCTCGCTCCTGCTCAGAGCAGGCGCGCGCCTACGTGGATGACATCACAATAGAGGACCTTTCTGGCTACATGGAGTATTATTTATACATCCCCAAAAAGATGTCGCACATGGCCGAGATGATGTACACTTAGAGTCAGATTTATTATTACCACTATTATTATGTCAGATAAGGAAAATGATAAGACGGTAACAAGGGTATTTTTTTCTGTCGATGAGAGAAAAGTTGGCCTTGGAGGAAAGTAGGAAAGGTGCTAGTAGAAGGAAGAGTTAGGAATAAAAGTTTCATTTAAATGGACAAAGGTTGGCCACAACATTAGAACCACTCATAGGTGAGATCCACATGTTAAGTTGTGACGTTCTGTTAATCCACGTCTGTTATATTCCCACGCTCTGTTACAGCAGCAAAACAAAACAGCTCCTGGCCCGATCGAGGGTCTGTGGGAGCCCAATTCACAGAGGCCCCTGAGCCCATAGGAACCAGCCCCGGTGGCCACAGGCTGCCGTTTCAAAGCTGGTCCAAGCACATCCTGCTAGCGCTCTGCTAGCGTTAACTTTAACCCACCTTTCTGGAGGTGGAGCCGGGGGGCTGGAGGCTTTTCCAGCTGACATAGGGCCAGAGGCAGGTCTGTCACAGGGCTAATGCACAGAGACAGGTTGCTGTTTTTCTCATGAAATTCTCATAAATTTGCATGAAGATTAAACGTTATTCTGAATAATTGTCATAAATTCAGTATAAGTTTGGTTTAGTGGGTCAGTGACACAGTGTCAGCCTGTAAACCCACAACCAGAGGTGCACGGCTGCCCGCTGTGCCTGCAGTAGGGGAGGGTGTGACTTTTGAATGTTAGAAAAATCATTAAGTTATAAAAATGCAACTTTTTTTTTTGTCTTTCTTTTTTCTTCGGGTGAGTGAAAGGACACATACCTACAAATGTAGGAAAAACATTGATACTAACTACAAGACGGTGAGATTAATGTGACAAAAATAATCCAGAAATGAGGCCCAGAGCCTTCGACTGCGCTTCAAACGTGTTGAAGTGGATTATATTTGAATCCAACGTGTTTTGATAGCACGCTCTCTCAGATTTGTTTAAAGATGCTTCGTATCCAGTAACTCTGATAACCAGAAGCTGTCGTATTTTGGAGCCTGACTGTCGGTAGGTGTGCAGACCGTGTCAGGCAGGCGGCTTTAATGTTGTGGCTGATGGCCACAGAATAGACTAACCCACGTTTAATGTTTCTGTTTGTCTTTCTGTGATTTTTACTAAATCTGACAGAAACTCGTCACAGCCAGCTGTTTCGCTTTAGTTTCGCCTTTCTCTTTGTGCCCTGTGGATCACTTTTCTTTCTTTCTTTGTTTTCGGTTTACAAATGAAGTTGCCAAAGCTCCTGGTGCTGGGTCTTGCAGAAGACAGGAACACGCGAACTTGTCATGCCAAGTGTGATTCTGTTTTTGGTGTTTGTGGCGACCTCAGGAGTCGCCCGTCTGGATTTAATTTCACTCAATAAAGAAGTAAAAAATGGAGAATTCGTCGTCTTCACTCGTCTCAATGAAGCTAATCAGAGATTTTTCTAACATGCTCGCACGGAGTTTACAGGGAGTAATAAAATAATTTCAACACAAACCCTGAAGCCCCAGTCACAGTCACAGATGGCAGTTATCAACAACTGTCTCTTAAACCATGCTCTCTGCTTTAGGCTCTGGGCACGCTCACAAAAAAGGGGCGTTTCCCGTGTCTTGTGCACAAATTGATCCCCATGAGTGTCACCTGCTTGAGTGATTAGTTATATCATGATAAAATGGTGTCTAAAATCTATAAAGAACATAATAAAAGTAACAGTAAATGCAACACTGCAGCAATATGACAAATTATTGTTCCATAAAAATGCTAAACGTGTGTTTTGGCACACTAAAACAATTTAACTCCAGCCTCACATTAGAGTTTAAGCTGGATCCATTTAAAAGTCCCACAGTCTAAAAACGCAAACGTGAAAAATGCTTCTGTCACAGATTAAAGGGAAATTTATCTGATTGAATAGATAGTCTGTGTGAGTAAACTATAAAAACATTCTATATTTCCTGCTTCACCAAAATAATACATGTAATCTCCAGTGACAGTGTGAGGCACAGTTTGAGCTGCTGTACCAATCAGGGAAAATGTGGCACTTTCAGTTGATTTTAAGATAGAAATGAACCTACCTCGCTCCAGACCAGGTGATGTATTACTGTGTTACCAAGGTGATATAGCCAGGTAAAAAGCCATGTTTATATCAGGAAGCTCTCAGAACACAGTCTCTGACTGTAAACAGTAAACGCTGTGAACTGTTGATGAAGCCAGTGTGTGAATGGGTGGATGACAGGTTGTGTAAAGCGCTTTGGGGTCCTTAGGGACTAGTAAAGCGCTATACAAATACAGGCCATTTACTATTTACCAAGCCATTCATTTTTCATTTTTCTCTGACCTACCTGCAACCAAACCACAGCTTTTGCACTACAATTTTGCCTCTGGCTAAAACTGGGTTGGGCCAGTATTTTGTTGTAGGAGAGATTACTTTCTATGCTTACCCGATTCTGCCCAACAGAAGAGTTTCATCATATTTTTAATCATAAAATAGAAGATGTAAACTGGGATTTAATATCACAGATACATCTGAGCCATGGAGGATGAAAAATGATATAAATAGACTAATAAATACTTGGATAAATGTCAAGACTAACAATGAAAATCTTAAATACAAACTTTCATAATAAAAATGATGAAATCAAAATGTGTCTCTATATTTCACCAGTTTCATTTTTGTCAGGCTGTTTTGTAATTTATTTATTTATTTCCTAAAGTAAGATAACGGTATTGTGATTGTCCCTTTACACTAACAATGTCGTTTTTATAAAGCTAGTTGTGTATTTATTCGTAAATCTGGCATTGTTTGTCCTCCATAACGGGCCACTAGTCGCCTTCCGCTGACATACATTATGGGAGCACGTGAGGGTGTGGACCAATCAGCCGGCGCCAACTGGACGCTGTCCCCGGAATGCTCTGTTTCCGTCCAATCAGAGACGAATGCGTGGAGGACTCCGGAACGAGTCGGACCTCTCGACCAATGAGGTGCTGGCGTAGCGTGACGTGGCGCCGGAAAGACCACACTGATCGTTCACTTTACCGGCGTCTGTGCAGAAGCGGCTGCGGTCCATGAGTGCGGAGTCTCCCTGTCCAACAGCGGTTAACCGGGCGGCATTCTGAGTGTTTATCCTCGCAGAAATGTTGTGTTTGAGCGGGTTGTCGGTGGCGCTCGCCCTCGCTCTCGTGCCGGGTTCCTCCGAAGCCTTGAAGGAAGGAGACTGTGAAGGTAGGTCCGTGTGCTAGCTTCAGTTAGCTTAGCTACAGCGACCAGGGTTCAACAACTTTTCAAAGACCTCCACCCGAAAGCGGTCTAAAGTCCACTGCCAGGGTTACCGTGGCGAAGGGAGCGGAGCTGGTGTTTACAGGGGTGTCACTATTCCAAAAAGAGGGGGGAGGAAGCATCCAGAGCTAATGTTCCCGTGTTACCAGAATAACGAGCTTCATCACTTCCAGTAAACCAAAACTCACCTGCAGACACACCTGGCAGCATCCTGTGAGCGCGAGCCACAGACGGGATATCTGCAGGCTGACACAGAATCAAACATCAGGATGTAAAAGTCTGAAGCTTCACCTGTGAAATGGTTGGATTGGCTGTTGTAGCCAGGTTGGAAATCACCTTAAAAAGTGACCTTGTGTTTGAGAACATGTAAATGAAGTGTAAAAACCAACGAGCCTTAAAGTCAGGGGCCTATCAGGACCCCAGTTTGTGCCACAAAGTGAGTTTTTTTTTAAGTCTAATATCTTTGCTCATATTTATAAATAGTCAGCATCAACAGGATGTGCCAATAGGTTGGATATAAAATAAAATGAAGTGTTTTGCAGGTATCATTATGACTTTATAACTATTGTACATACTGTTCCACATTATAAACAAGCCAGTCCTTCTTGGCCACTTAAACTATCTCAATATAACTGTTATGTTACATTTGTTCTACTTCCTGCTGCCCTCTTGGCTTGATCTCTCTTTTTAATGTCAATGAGAGTTTTACATTTATAAATAAAGAATATATTAGAGTCGCTTTGACAGAGACTGATGGAGCTTCTCTGTTTCTATCAGGAGAGGTGTGTTTGACATATGGTTCAGAGGTTGTAGGCCAACAAGTCATTTACAGTAGTTTAAATACTGGAAATCACTTTTTGACCCACCAGTGGGAATCATCCTGAGGTCTGGTGGTGGTCTAACTTAAATAAAATAAGCTCTTTTAAACCTTATTTGTGTTTTAATCAGCTCTGACTGGATATTCTAGACATGCAGGTTTTATTTCTCACTGACTGTTGAATTTAACTTTCAGTCTCCCAGCAAATTCCAATTAAAGTGCGCAGGGTCTTTTCAGAAAGTCTGCGAGTGTCAGTATTTGCATCTAGTTGTTCTCCTTCATTCCTGATATGGAATAAGTTGTTTCTATCGTAAATCTCTGCTGCTTTCAGTTACTCTTTCAGGTTGCAGACGGCTCCGTACGTCCGTTGTCATTTCTGTATGATGACAGACTGTTTGTGAAAAACATAAATCTAAGTTTTTATCTGACAAAGTGTCAAATTCAGTTTTTATTCAATGAGGGAAAAAATGAATAAGAAGTCGTCACATTTTAAACATCCTAATTATTTTTTAAATAAAGGAAAATCTAATCTATATATAGATTGTACGGTACTACATATTTAATAAGATGAGGGACTTTGTTGTGACTGGCTTGTGTTTTTCTTTCTACACAAAGATTTAACCGCTCGTCGAGTTGACTTTTGTTTTCCTGTTTCAGTGTGCGTGACCTTCCTGGGGAAGTTTTATCAGTCGCTGAAGGACAAGGATGTAAAGTTTAACAGCGCAGACATCGAGAAGGCGCTCACGGCGAGCTGCAAAGACACCAAAGGCAAAGAAAATCGCTTTGTGAGTAAAACGCGTTTACATGTTTCTGGAAGCTGGAGGTGGTTGGATCGATTAAAATGAACCTGAGCTGGAGATTCAACATGTCAGAACAGGTGTGTGTGAATGAGAGTGAGGAGATGAAATGTTAGAGAGGCGAGGCTGAGATGGTTTGTGCAGAGGAGGGATGGTGGAAATGTTAAAGATTCATGGATGTAGTGAAGGAGGATGTGCCGAGATGGAGGCAGATGGTCCTCTAAGGTTTTGCAGTACAAGCTACAGGAATGAGTGTGATTAAATGCCCCCCCTCCCCCCACAACCATAATCCTGGTCAGTTAAACGAATTATTCAAATTTTATCACCATGGTTTGATGTCACCTGCCACAGCCCGGGTGTCAGGATCAGCACCTGCAGCTCTCTGATGTGGAAAGTGTCTGTGAGCTGAATCTTTTTTGCTAGTTTTCTGACTTTCAGACTAGTTTTCTCCTGTTTAAACACCCAGACAGTGCAAGTCAGGGGTGTCCAAACTTTTTTCACTGAGGGCCACATACATAAAAATATAGGAGGGTCTGGGCCACTTACTAGAAATTAGATATATAACCTTAACTTTAGTGTATTAAAGTTAGAAAAATCACTTAAAAGTGGTCGAATATGTTATATTGTTGAATATAATTAAAGACAAAACTGCCTTCATCACAGCTTTCCATAAATAGAATAGAATAGAATAGAATAGCCTTTATTGTCATTGTACAGAGTACAACGAAATTGGAGTGCCACTCCCTTGGTGCAAGTTTCAATAATAAATATAAATGTAAAATATAAAAAGTACAAAAAAAACAATCGTAAGTACTCAAACAATAGTATGTACAATATATACAGGATAGCAGCATTAATATGATGACAGTATGAATAGCAGCATAATATAATGACAGTATGAATAGCAGCATTAATATAATGACAGTATGAATATCAGCATAGTATAATGACAGTGACGGTATGGAATAGGTTCAATTGTTTTTGTGCTTCTTTACTACGGTGATAGCTCTGGGAAAGAAGCTATCCCTGAATCTGTTTGTCCTGGTTTTATGTGACCTGTACCGTCGGCCTGACGGTAATAGTTCAAACAGTTGGTTGCTGGGGTGAGAGTGGTCCTTGATGATATTGCCAGCTCTGCTGAGGTACCGAGAGTTTGCAGTGACCTCCAGGCTGGGCAGAGAGCAGCCAGTGATCTTCTGGGCTGTGTTGATGACCCTCTGCAGTACTTTCCTGTCTGCAGCTGAGCACCCTGCATACCATGTTGTTATGCCGTACGTTAGGATGCTCTCTATGGTGGCTCTGTAAAATGTCACCAGCAGCCTCTCCTCCAGGTTGTTCCTCCTGAGCACTCTCAGAAAGTGGAGACGCTGCTGGGCCTTTTTAACCACCGCTGTAGTATTTGCAGTCCAGGAGAGGTCATCAGATATCTGCACGCCCAGAAACCTCATGGAGTGTACCCTCTCCACACAGCTCCCGTGAATGTAAAGTGGGGCCGGGTCTGCTCTGCCCTTCCTGAAGTCCAAGATAAGTTCTTTAGTTTTCGTGGTGTTCAGTTGGAGGTTGTTAACTGAACACCACTCAGTCAGTCTGTTGACCTCATCTCTGTAGTCCGACTCCTCCCCCCTTGAGATGAGTCCAACCACTGTGGTGTCATCCGCGAACTTTATGATGGTGTTTGAGAGATGGGTAGGGGAGCAGTCGGATGTGTAGAGCGTAAACAGGAGGGGACTCAAAACACATCCTTGTGGAGACCCGGTGCTGAGTGTGATGGTGCTGGACCGGTGGGGGCCGAGTCTGACAGACTGTGGTCTATTTGTCAGGAAGTCCTTGATCCAGAGGCAGATGGGGGTGGAGAGTCCCAGGTGAGACAGTTTCTGGACCAGGATCTCCGGGTGATATGATTGAATGCTGAGCTGAAGTCCAGAAAGAGCATTCTCACATAGCTTCCTCGGTGCTCCAGGTGACTCAGAGCAGTGTGGAGCGCTATGGTGATAGCGTCCTCGGTGGAACGATTTTTCCTGTAGGCAAATTGGTGGATCTTTATTGATTTATTCAGAAAAAGCTTTGGCAGCTCGTTCTCACAACAGCCTCAGATTTCTTCTTAGACAGAAGATTTACAGCACAGAGAAAAACCAATAAAGATGGGACGGGTACATTTCAAGTTTGTTGTTTAAGTTATTAGGCTCAGCAACACACCTTTGAACGTTCGTTTGAAACCATTATCGACATTAACAGACTGAACTGGACTTAATAACAGGAGTGCATCATTTTAGTAAATTCTTCTGGTGAGTATCAGCTGCGCTGGGTATGTAAATCGGGCCGTCCAGCTGCGGTGCTGATCCGACGCCACTCGTGCCAAAAATCCGGACAAATGTTTCTTGATCAAGGAGCAGATCTGCATCAGATGAGATCAGCTGACTGCGTGCGCTGTGCACAGCGGTGTGTACTCTGTGTGTTAACAAGAAAAACGCATATAAGAAAGTGGTGCACAAAAGCAGAGTAGTGACAAGACTCATGCGTATTATTGATATTTGAAGCATGTGCACATGCATGCTTATTAACACACGGGTACTGTGGAATATATTTTTAAAGCGCTCGTGCTCTCGTCCACTCCCCGCAAAAAAATAGCAGCTGTGCGGCGTCTGTGGCATCGGTGCTCTCATCGCATGCAATGGAGTAAAAATCAAAAGCACAGCTTCATCAGACAGCTGCAGTTTAATGTTGGCTGACGAGTCTCCAGTGCGTCGCACGACTGGATTTCTGGACACGCTGACGTTGTTGAAGTCCTGCACTTTTTCCGGGCTCATTATTTCGGTGACTTTAATGAGGCCGTGTTTTATGAGGTCTCCATCTGAAAAAGGCTCGCCATGTCTCGCGATGAGTTGGGCGACCTCACAGCTCGCTATTGGAGCCTTTTCCTGGACTTTTTGAGCACGAAATAAATACTGCTGCTGACCCTGCAGGAGAGCTACGCTTTGCTTTAATTTCTGCTCTGGCTCGGCACCAGTGTCGGATGCACAGGCCTGATGTTTGGTTTCATAATGACGTCGTACATTATCCTCTTTCATAACTGCCACAGTTTCAGTGCAGATCAAACAGACACACTTCCCCTTGAGTTCTTTGAAGAAATCTTCACTCTCCCACCGTGTCTGAAATGTTCTGCACTCACTTTTCTACTTTTCGCTTCTTTGGTTCTGCCATGTTTAGTAACTTGGGGGTAAATTTCTTCTGTGATGTCCTTTTTGGTGGAGCAACTGCCTTGATCAACAGCAGCTCCCCCTGGTGTTAAAACTAAGAAGTGCAATGCACTCAAGCAAAAGTTGAAGTGCGGCCTTATTCTATTCTATTTATGAAATTACTTGCGGGCCAATTAAAAATGGATCACGGGCCGCAGTTGGTCCGCGGGCCGGAGTTTGGACACCCCTGGTGTAAGTGAATGTGATCGCAGTTTATATGAAAATGTTTGAGTTCAGTCATGTTGTGTTTGGGCAGCTTGCCACCACTAGGGGGTGCAGCTCTGCTCCCTGGGACAGAGACCTTCCTGTGTTTGGTTTTTGTAAATGGACTCTTATGATGAACCGTTTGAAGCAGACGTTTTCTATTTTAGCACGTGACGCAGCAGAATCCAGCAGAGTGACCGAAGCCGCTTGTGTTTCATTCGTCTTTAACTTTTTGATTTCTCCTCCCTGTTCTGTGTTCAGTGTTACTACATCGGTGCAACGAGTGACGCGGCAACCAAGATGATCAATGAGGTTTCCAAACCGCTCAGCTACCACGTCCCCGTGGAGAAGATCTGCGAGAAGCTCAAGAAGAAGGACGGCCAGATCTGTGAGCTGAAATACGGTGAGGAGGGAAGAATGCGGATCTTCTCGCCTAACAAACGGTTGAGCCCCACAGTTCAGGAAGTCAACAATAATAATAAAAAACAATAATAGTAGCTTAGCTGGTGTATTATTTATAGAATTATATTTTATTTATAAACCAGCTTTAAGAAAATACGTCCTTTGTTTGATACGTGAAATCATCAATTTAACTGTGGCTGATCGATGAGTACCGACCCTTCAAAATAAGAGCAGTGAGTGTCTGAGATCATTTAAAAACGGCTGACGTGAATAAACTGTCGCTCACAGAGACGGCGCAGCTGCTCGTAGACAACACGTGGACTCATGAATCCACATGAATCAGCCGTGCTCTGATTATTTCAGTCTTATTGATTTTTTTTCTTGCTTTCCTTGCAGATAAACAGTTGGACCTGACCTCAGTGGACCTGAAAAAGCTTAAAGTGAAGGACCTGAAGAAGATCCTGGAGGAGTGGGGCGAGTCGTGCAAGGGCTGCGCTGAAAAGTCCGACTTCATCCGCAAAATCACAGAGCTGATGCCCAAGTACGCGCCGGCAGCCGCCAATGCACGGACAGACCTGTAAAAACATAAATATATGGACTCTGATCAGACTGCAATCCAGCGCAGAGAAGAAGGCGGAGCGGGAGTTTTGTTGGGCATGCTTGTTTTGTTTTTTTAATATTTGAAGAGGCAGTTTCAGAAGTATAGATGTTAGCGTAGTCCTGATCTGTACTTCTAAGTGAGGGAGAGCCAGCAGCAGCTGTAGTTAATAATCTTCACAGTGACTGCCTAAATAAGACCTCCAGTTTTCTTCACCACATTGACTCGGATGTTTATAAATTCTAAGTGTGTGCGACTGAGCCGTGATGAGAGAAATTCAAACAGTAAGAGGAGCCTGGAGTGACCGAGGAGCCAAACATGGAGAAACCTGTAACGAGTTACCTGTACATTTATGTGAAGATCAAAACAGGAGCTGCTGATGGAGAATTCGGCTACTTTTCATTTGTCTAAATGTCAAAAAATAATAAATCCAGACTAAAATAAGATGATTGGGTTTGGATCTCCTGATCGTTGCCATCGTATTGGTTCCCAAACAGGTGCTCAGAGCGGCGTTTCCTTTAAATTGGGGAAAATACTCAGATACAGAAAAGATACCAGAGCTAGGCTCATGTGGCGGAGAGGAGGAGAACACGGGGAGATGATGTTACCTGGAAGTTTTCCTGAGGAGGAGACGTTTAAAGTTTCTGGTCGGAGAAGCTCCTCCCACAGATCCCCTCTGACATGAGCTCCGCTGTTTCCATGGTGACTGCAGGACGGGTGGATGTACTGAGACTTGTGGGTGATCCTGACATACTGAGTGTTTGTTCAGCTCCACCCTGCCGTGATCTGTTTCAGGAAAGCTGCAGTTTGTGTTTCTGTTCTCGTTAGATTGAAGGTCTCTGCAGAATCGTCCCGTCACCTTCTCGGCCAGTGAGAAAGCTCCGCCTCCCTCAGGTTAAAATGACGGTTCAGGCCCCTCCCTCCCTCCTCCACCATCCTCTCTGGTGTCAAGTACAGAAAAAACCCTGCTTTTCCCTGGAACGTTCCCACTTCTACTGCGCTGTTTGGATCATTTGTGCTTGCCGCTCGGGTTTGTTAGGATTTACGAGTGGCCCCGGGTCGAGTGCGGCGCTGGACTTCACGGCTCTTGGAAAAAGATTAGCACAAAACTTCAAACCACCGATGACAAGTGTGGGTGACTGTCAGCAAAGCAGGAAACTTTATTTAGGATAATATTTAAGGGTTTTTTCTCTTCAATTTCTAATAAATAAATACAGTTTCTGACTTTTTTACATCCACCTTTGATGTCGCTCACTCAGACACTTCATGTGTTCGTGGTCCCTAAACGTTGGGAAACAACCATTTACCGTGTTCTCTCTCACATGTGGTGGAACTGAACTGCCCCTCCACTCTGGACTGCGGCGGCGTCTCGATGGACGCTGGATGAAACTTGTTTTGTTTGACATAAACGGATGACCTGTAGCTAAAGGTGGTGATAAAAGCTGTGTGTGATGCTTCATATGAAAAATGAAAACTTAAAATATGCTGTTGTCTCACAGTGACTTTTCATGTAAGGCAGTGTCATTTGTTACAACTGTACTATTCTACTTTTTCATTAAAATATGAAAAGCTCCAGGCCCTGCTCTCTGTGATGCACTCACACCTGTGTAGCACTTTGTCTACGTCTCACACTCCACACCGCTGCTTCTGAAAAAGCCTAATGCCTGCCTTTGGAAGGAAGCTGGAGGAAAACCAGTCACAAGCAGAAAAACATGAGTTTGTTCTTCTCTCCTGAGCATGATCGAACACTTTCCACTGACTTAGTTTAAAACATGAAAGCATTTCTCTCATTAGCTATGAACTACTACTCCCTGTATCACTCCTGGATATTTGGGAATACGCTGGAAAATTACCCCCCAAAATGTCTTTATTTCAAACAGAAAATTACAGAACAAAGATCTTGTGCACATCCCAACAAGCAACAAAGCAGAGAAATAAAGGTGCATGAATGATATAAAGTATTGGCCACAAAGAATCGCCATTTTTAGTGATACTCATGAATGTTGTAATTGCTTAGTGGAGAAGAGAGAAAATTAAATATAAAATCCAATAAATATGTAAGAAGTGCAGTTTACAGCAGGATAAAATTAGCCCCGACTTTGTATTCCATAATAACGCGTCCGGCGTCATGACGTCCGCCACGGTTGCGTCATCACGTCTCCGCCCTCCAGAGGGAACGCGCACATTCCTATTGTCCAAGATGGCGGCGCTGGTGCAGACCCTCCGACGCTGATATGTTTTTAACCGACTTTGTGCTCGTTTCTCGGCGTGTGTGCGGTCACCCAGCGGCCCGGGGAGAAGCGTGTGTTTGCCGTAGCTGCCGTCTGCAGCCTCAGCGTCGCTAACAGGCCTGGACTTCGCTGCCCGGGCCCGGATTCCCATCGCAGGCTCCGAAAAGTTTGAGCTCCATCATCCTTTGAAAATGAAGCGGCAGGCCGGGAGAGAGGCGAGCCCGTCCAGGGCCGCCGCCAAGCGGATACGGGAGCGGGAGAGTGCGCGGAGAGAGGAGGTTCCACCGCCGCCCCCACCGCTGGCCCTGCTGCTGGCAGACAGCCGGGGATACCACCGCCGGAGCCGCAGCCGCGAGCGGGAGAAGCCGCGGCTCCGGGAGGAGCGGGCTACCGCCCTGGAGCTCCACCACCGGCACGAACTCAGCCTGCTCGGCCGGCCGCCCCTCCGCACCGCTGCGGCCGAGCTTCCAGCCTCCCGCCCGGGCACGCTGGAGTACAAGACGCTCCTCATCAGCAACCTGGGCTCGCAGGTGTCAGACGAGGACGTGGAGGACGCGCTATTCCACGAGTTTAAGAAGTTCGGGGACGTCAGCGTGAAGCTGTCGCACACCCCCGAGCTGGGCCGGATCGCCTACGTCAATTTCCGACACCCGGAGGACGCCAAGGAGGCCCGGCACGCCAAGTCCTCCAGGTTAGTGCTGGGAGATCGGCAGCTTAAAATCGAACCCATGTACGTGAGGAGGCGGAGCGCCACGCCGCCCGACGTCGGGTATTTACCTGTGCACGCGCCCTACCCGTACCGACAGCGTTCCCTGTCCCCTCCCGTGCCCGGCGTGAGCAACATCAGGGACCTCCGGGCCCGCCACTACGCCCTGGAGCAGCTGGGCCTGAGCCGGGAGAGGGAGAGGCTGCTGGATTATTACGGCATGCTGGATGAGCGGGGTCGGCCCTACGGCTTCCCCCCCATGCCCGTGGTGGAGGATTTAAAACCTGAGGACGACCAGAGGGCCACCAGCAACCTGTTTATTGGAAACCTGGACGGTAACGTCACAGAGGCCGAACTCAGGAGGGGCTTTGACAAGTATGGCATCATAGAGGATGTGGTGATTAAACGTCCTTCACGTGGGCAGGGCGGGGCTTACGCTTTTGTGAAGTTTCAAAATCTGGACATGGCGCACAGGGCCAAAGTAGCCATGCAGGGGCGGCTGATCGGAGGCAACCCCATAAAAATTGGCTATGGCAAAGCCAACCCCACCACCCGGCTGTGGGTGGGCGGGCTGGGGCCCGGGAACTCTCTGGCCGCCCTGGCTAGGGAGTTTGACCGTTTCGGAAGCATTAGGAACATAGACTATGTGAAGGGGGACAGCTTTGCTTACATTCAGTACGAGAGTCTGGACGCCGCTCAGGCCGCCTGCACACAGATGAGGGGCTTTCCTCTGGGGGGCCCCGAGCGCCGCCTCAGGGTGGACTTCGCCAAAGTGGAGGAGAGCCCCTCTCGTCCGTTTCCTCCTGGCTACCAGCCTCCCGTGGCGCTGCCCTCTCACTACGACCTGCTCGGGGAGGCATACAGCCGCCATCGCAGCCTGGAGCGGGAGCTGAGGGGGGCCAGGGACCGCCTGTCGCCGCCCTCTCACAGCCTCCTCTCCCTCCGGGAGCGGGAGAGGGCCCTGCTGGAGAGAGACTACCCCACCAGCCCCACACGAAGCCTGGAGAGGAGGACGGCAGGCGTGGAAGCGTTCGGGAGGAGCGGGCGAGGAGCCAGGAGCCGCAGCAGGAGTAGGGAGCGCTGGCTCAAGGAGCGGGAGGAGAGGAGGAGCCGGAGAAGAAGCCGGAGCAGGAGCGTGTCCGCTGAGAGGCAGACGGAGGAGCGGGAGAAGGAGAGGGTGAGGTCCAGGGTTCGCGGTCCACTAGGCACCGTCTCTCCTGATGCGAGCCCAGACCGAGCTCGGGTCAGAGCGCCGGACTCCACCACGGAGCCACGAGACCACTCCCCTGACAGCGGCGGAGGGGTGCGGCACTCCACCGCAGCCACTGCTGCCAGTGAAGAAGATCCCCCGTCTGGCCGCCACCACAGCAAGAGGTCCTCCAGCGACCACGTCAACAACAACAACAACAACAACCACCACCACCATCGAAACAGCGAGATCATCACCACCGGCTCCCCCGCTGCCATCCACACCAACACCACCTCCCCCCCGAGCACGCTGTCTGAGTTCGCCCAGACGGCGCTCTCCAAGACGTGGCACGGCTTCTTCGCCTTGAAGAACAGTAGTTTCCCCACCGACCTGTACCTGCTGGAGGGCGGGGCGGCGTTCTTCAGCGCCGTGATGAAGGACAGCCCGAAGCTGCAGAACCAGCCCAGCCAGCTAAAGATCGCCCAGCGGCTCCGCATGGACCAGACCCGGCTCGACGAGGTGTCGCGCCGCATCAAACTAGGCCGCCCGGACAACTTCGCCATCCTGCTGGCCCTCCAGGGCCCCGTCGACCGCCAGGCCCCCGCCCCGAGCCGGGCCTGCAGGTGCGCTTGCTCCGTCACCTGGTGACGTACCTGCGGAACAAAGAAGCTGCTGGAGTCGTGAGCCTCCCCGCTGTAAAGGAGGGCGCGCCGGGGGCCATGCTGTACGCCTTTCCGCCCGGCGAGTTCTCGCAGCAGTACCTGCAGGCTGCCAAAAGGACTGTGGGTAACCTGGACGAGGAGCACATGGTTATTGTGATCGTCAATGACACTAACTGAACCTGCACAGGTGTGAGCGCAGAGGAATACTTCCATGTTGTTTTTAGACAGAAAAGCATTATTATTGTTTTACTCAGTATGTTATGAATGAAACACGGCGAGCTACACTACGTCTGCGGCGCCCTCGGGGGCTCGTGGAAAATGCGTTATTATAAAACACTTAAATGAGGCTAAAACGCTGCACGCAGGCAGTGCTTGGTCCCGGCAGGAAGTAGAGTTTATTGTGGAAGTCGTATCGTGAGAAATGCCCGTTTGTTACACGTGTCCGTGCGATTATAAACACGCCGCCGCCACCTTATCGACGGGGAAACTTGACCCAGCCGACTGCCAGACAGAATAAAGCAGGAAAAATATTACAATAAATATTCACTTCTAATAAGACATAATCATGAAGCAGTGAACCAAAACGATCTTAAAGGTCACGACTAAAAAAAGTCCGAATTAATACAGAAACTGGATGTTTGACTTGTTGAACACATAAAACCAAAGTTTAATATTAAAGTCACAAAGTTAAAAAAGTCAAACTTTGCTGTAAAACCACAGCATAAAAATTATCTTTAAAAAGTTTGATCATTATTTCTATAAATTATTGTGGTTTATGTGTCAAAGGTACAGAACATAAAGTAGGATGTTTAAATAAAAAAGTGAAGTTTTAGATTTGGAAAGTAATGTTTCTAAAATCCATGCGTCACTTTGATATTTAAGATTAAAAGCACATTTTTGACTTCATGTATTTCTGTCCTTATCTTGAATGTGATAAAGGCCACGCCCCCTCAGAGCTCAGGTGTCGGCTGACCCCGCCCTCATCCTCTGATCACTTCAGTATCCTTAAATGATGAGAAAATACAATACAAACAGGAAACAGACAAAGGTCCCCTTCAAAACAAAAGCTGCGCCTTTTTAAACGTGTGCTTCAAGAAGAGCAGAAGCTCAGAGATAAAATATTAAAGACAAGAACACAAAAAAACCCTTTTTTCATGATTATCTGGAGTCACGATAACGGAACAAGCCGACGTTAAATCATCAGAGTCTAAAGATTTGAAATGTATGGATTTTATATATAGTAGTAAAATGTAAAATCTGATGTTTCTCTCCAGACTTTCACATCTGATTGACTAAACTGAGGCCTCATCTAATTTAATTCAAACATTTTATTTTTATCAAAACTGCATTTTACTCCTTTTTGACTTTTAATATCATTAGATTTGCTTTGAGAATCATAAATGTGACGTCAGGAAGCACGTTTGGTTATTCTACTTCATAGTGTTCTTATTGTTTGTTAATGATGAGGATTTATTTTAATAATTACTGAGGCTTTTTCTGCTTCGTGCTCTTCTTCGAACTGCTCAGTTTTCACATCGTCTAGTCGCCGCCAGCTGTTGAGCACATCTGCACAAGTAGGACACTGAGAGCAGGAAGTACCCTCAGACTAAACTGTCATTTCTCACGATACGAGTACACACACTTATCGCTCAGAGCAGCACTTTTTCTATTCTAAGCTGTTACACACAACACTAAACCCCGACAGGAGTCTTCGTGCGCTCTCTGAACTGTACCGAGCTGCCCCGAATGTCCGAGCCGAGCAGCACCGGGTGGTTTTATTCAGAGTACTGTAAACCGAGGGGGAAGCGGCACTTTGTCTCCCCCTGTTGGCTTCTTCTGGGACTTTTTTTGGTTAAGTGAGGCCGGTGGATTCCCAACCCTCCGTCCCCACCGCTGTAAAGTTCATGTTAGTTAGTGTTTTTATCAATTTAAAATCATTCCAGGTGTTTTGTTTGGAAGCTGTACGAGTGTGTTCGATGTTGCATGCAGGAAAAAAAGTTTGGTTTTGTCAGTCAACAAAACAAAAAGAAACGCCAGCTTCTCCAGGAAGCTGCTGATGTTTGATCATATTACTGGTTTTATATTGTACACATTTATACCTTTTATTGGATTTTAATACATCAGTCCATCTGTTATCCACACCTGCTTCTTTGTTTTTATGTTTTCTCCCTTAAATTGTCATTTTTCTGGTCAATTTTAGTCAAATAAAACCTTTTAACCAATGATTCAAGGGCTGATTTTAAGACCATTCAGATGTAATGAGTAAAACAGTTTGACACTAAATTATGTGAGAGGTGAAAATGTGGCGGAATAAATAATGAAGCCAGTAAATTACAGTAATTAGAATAAACAGTTGAAAAAGTAAAGAAGCTTTGAGTTGAGCTGAACTGAGTTTCTTATACAGCTCGATGGTGTGAGAGCGACTCGGTCCGTGTTTATGCTTTAATGATGATGAAGAAAAGCACAAATATAAGGAAGCCTGTTAATGCCAGTAAGACAAAAAATTAGGATGAAGATTAGCCGTGATTTTATTTTTTTGTTTACTCGTTTTCGGTCATGTCCAAAGTCATAATGAAAATGTTAAAGAGTGAAATTAACTTTGGCTTTATGACCCAACGCATGAGTTTTATTTTTAAATAATTAAATGATTCGGTGTGTTGTTTAAATTCTGGTATTTTCTCTCATTTTGATAAAAAAATAAAAATAAAATCAAAGTTGTGCTGAAAAAATTATATTTTTTCAGTTTCCACTTCTTTGACGTTTGTTCATGATTTTTATATATCACGGCAAGAAAATCATGGCAATAACTGTTCTTATGTTTTTGTTTTTTTAAATTTTGACTTAAAACTAAATTGTAATTAAGTCACAAGCTTGACTTTCTAAACTAAAAGATAAAAATATCTTTCTTGTAAATAAAATAAAAATAAATTTGTATATATTTAATAATGATGGTTAGCCTCCATGCAGTGCTGAATTGGAAGAAAATGAATTGACAGCTTATGTTTTCTGTTTTAGTTTGTCTTTTCTTGACATTCATGGGCTTCCGTACTTTTAGTCTTTCCAAGCGTTAATTAAAAAATTATGGCGGGAACATTTCAAACTCTCCAGGATGCACCTTTGAATATTATTTGAACACTTCCTTAAAAAACAGCTTGAAAACTGTAACATATGAATAAACAAATAAGTCAATCAATGAAAAGAATTGATCAGATTTCACTTGTTTGAGTTTCCCTTAAAGGTTTGTGATGTGAGTGAAGATGCCCCCCCCCCCTTTCTTTAAATCAAACAAAATTGATGTCATACATTTGTGCTGCTGTCATTTTAAAGATATTAGTACGTTTCTAGAGGTCATCCAAGGTCAAGGTGCTGAACTAGCTATTATTTTTTATTTTGAAAAAATAGTTTTAAACTTGAGGCTCGACGGTTCATGCATTTAGCTTTGCTAACAGGAAACATGCTTACGTTGTTCTGATAGTTTTGTATGTTGCAAATAAAGTTTTGTTCTCTGACAGAAAACATATTTTAACTATTATAAGTTAACTTCGTTTTTTACTTTTACAGAGTGATGATGATAAAAAATATCCAGTATTGGTTTATGTTTCACAACCTTTTTCACAGTGAAGATGTGGCCTGAATGACCTCTGGAAACTTTTATTAAACGTAGTACAAACGTTTGGCATCAAGTTTATTTGATTTGAAGAAGGTGGGTTTGTCGCTCTGTGCCGTGAAGACAGCTCCTGGTAATCTGGACGTTACGATGTCCATGTCCACTGTAAATATTTTCCACACCTCCCAGAATAAATGACTGTGATGCAGTACGTCCAGCACATTTACGAAGAATTTTACTTTATAATTCTCATGGTTAAAATATAACGCGTGATCATTATGATCAAATTAGCAGTAATACTTTGTTCAGTGTGTGTCGCCCTTTTTGGAAATAAACTGAAAATAGTGCCAAAAGTGAACAAACGACCACGTTAAACACATTATTGGTGTGATATTGAAATTTGATGTTCAGATGTGACTCTCATCAATGTGACAGCCTTAAATGAATCAAATGCATGTCAGCATATCAGAGCCATCATTACCCGTTTATGTTTGAGTCCTAAATCACCAAAAGTTTATGTTAAAACTCATTTTAATAATTATTCCTGTTATCAAATTATCTTCAGATTTTTTTACAGTATTAATAAGAAACAGGAAATGGCAAAAATCACATGTCAGCACTCAGTGAGGTGTTATTAATATTATTATTAAAAGAAATAAAGTCTTTAATGTTATGGTTTATTTTCCTTTTTAGTCCCTTTTAGAGTGTTTACATGTAACCCAGCTGTTGGTCTGTCAGTGCACCTCTTTAGAACAATTAGCCGTGTATGGAAGCCTATTTATGCCAAAAAGAGAAAGGTTTTTGAATCCTATACAGTGGGTGAAATATTCATTTGATCATCTGGTGAATTTGTGACTTTAGAAACGAACATTCTCTCGTTTTTATGGGAGTTTTATTTTAATGGAGACGTTACATAAGAGTTATAAACTGAATTCTGTACGACTGAGTGAAATAAGTGCTTGATCCTTTAAAACCAGTCAGAATTGTTCCTCCATGACCTTGTGACAGCCTCCTGATCTTAACTCATTATCTGCATAAAGCACAGCTGTTCACAGAATCGGTTTCTTCCATGCTCTCTGCCACCGTGAGCAAAACCACCGAGCTGTGGAAGGACGTCAGGGACGAGTCACGAAGCAAAGACCTGCACGAGGCTGGGATGGAGAACAGGACCGTCAGCGACAAGCCCGATGAGAAGGTGGCAACTGTTGGTGTGATTATTCAGAAATGGAGAAATGTGAACGCCCATCGATCGTCCTCGGCCTGGAGCTGCATTCAAGGATGGCCATGAGAAAGGTGGCGTATCGGCCCAAAACTACGTGGCAGGAGCTTGTTAATGATTCAAAGGCATGTTTGACCACAATCGCCGAGAAGACGAGCGGTAACACGCCACGCCGTGATGCAGGGTTCCTGCTCAGGAAGGCCCGTCCGACATTTTTAAGACATTTATCAGAAAGTTGAGTTACTGTTAGTAGAACTGAAATCTGTGATGCTGTTCTTGCTCGTCACCCACACGTTTGTTCGGCAGCCAGAGATTATAATAAATTCTAATAAATCACCTAAAATTCTCCCCAATGAGAGAAAAATGAGCAGAAGCATCTGCACTGAAACTCAAATCATCACAAAGCAGCTGCTGAAACGAGCGTTTTAATTACGTTAGGGAGAAAGAGAGAGCAGGTCAGGCTGGAGTTTAGCTTCCTTTTGTGCTCCGTGTATTTACTGACCCAGGAATTCTCACTTAGTCAAACAGGGTTTCACAGGTCACTGTTTCACCGTCTTGAATGAAAGAAGAACAATATCTGAACACAAGGAGGCAGCACGAGCACAGAAAAGGCCGAGGTGGGCTGGACTCAGACACTCTGATCCTTCCCCGACATCCGAGGCGTCCGCAGGGATTCGTCTGAGCCCAGACTCTGAACACGGGGGGCAGCCAGGAAGCTGCTGCTGGTGCAAACACGCCTCAAACATTCCCAGTGCTGAAAAACTAGAAATGTTGATGGTGCATTAGCCCGAAGCATCGGGGTGGATGTCAGTGAAGACTCAGGGAACAGATCCTGTTACCCTGCAGTAAAAACATGAAAGCTGTCAGGACACGTTCCTGATTTTCCTGTTTATCACAAATCAGTGTGATTATTTTCATTCATTTAGTTTGATATTAACGGGTAAAACAGTGAAAGGAGAAAAATGTGGTGATGTTTGGGTCGCTGTTTGCTGCTAAAATAAACTGAAGATGTGCGGCCAGGCGACCAGATCAGCGGCGCCAGTTTGGCTGAATTAGCCGGCTTCATCCACTTAAGACGGGATTTTGCTGCGAGACGCAGCCTGCAGGCCGCTGGTGTTGGAGACCGTGCCAGTGTTTGTTAATACGAGCCAGAAAAATGAGCTCGAGCTCAGGTTTGATCCCAGAAACCAACCCCGAGGAATCCTCCCCATCTTTCCTCTTTCCTTCTACTACTTTTCTGCTCCACCCTCTCTCGCTCTCAGGTGTACCAGGTGGACTCATCGATGTCTCTCCTGTCCCAACATAAAGGAGGATGGGGGCATGCAGCCTCCCTGCATGCCCAGATCCCTGCGTCTTTGCGGGGATTTATTGTCTCGCCTTTTGTGCTGGAAGTCCTGGAAGTCGAATTTGTTCTGTCAGCTCGGTTTTCATATCTCATTAGTTTAGAGAGAGACGCTCTGGGTCCTACTGCCCATCATGTTGGTAGCACTTTCACCTTTTTGTTTCATTTTGTGTCCAAACCGTGAGGGCAGCTTTTGTGTTTGGGGACTCTGAGAGGACGAGCCATGAAGAGCGGCCCGCTTATATCATCGTCTCAGGATTTTCTTTACTTGCACAAGAAATAAAGTGCAGTCGCAGAAAATCTATGACTTCAGCCACCCGCGAGCAGTGTTGGGCAAGTTACTTTTAAAAAGTAATTAGTTATAGTTACTAGGTACTTTTTCAAAAAAGTAACTGAGTTACGGTATTATAAAAGTAACTAATTACTAGGAAAAGTAACTATTGTGTTACTTTAAAAAAGTGTTTAACCTTCTGGGGTCCAGGGTGTAATTGGCTGTTTTGACTGCTTGTGATTTTCTTCTGCATCTCACCTTTAAAAACTGTTTACTTGCCTTGTTTGGTCTCATCCTTTTCAGCACAACCTCACGTGTCTGAAGCTGATCGTTTCTTCTTCTGTGGTTTTTGACCTCACGTGTCTGAAGCTGATCGTTTCTTCTTCTGTGGTTTTTGACCTCACGTGTCTGAAGCTGATCGTTTCTTCTTCTGTGGTTTTTGACCTCACGTGTCTGAAGCTGATCGTTTCTTCTTCTGTGGTTTTTGACCTCACGTGTCTGAAGCTGATCGTTTCTTCTTCTGTGGTTTTTGACCTCACGTGTCTGAAGCTGATCGTTTCTTCTTCTGTGGTTTTTTCCGTGTTCCCTCCCTGTTCGCTCGAAACACTTTTTCCTCGCGTGTTCTTCTGGTTTGTGTCTCCGTGTAACATCTTTTATTTTCGGTTTTATTTTGAAGCGTATTTTTCTGATGAGGTTTACATCCTGTTCAGAATCAGAGAAACGTTATTGATCCCAGAGGGAAATCGAGTTGTCATAGCAGCAAGTATACAACAAACAACAAGCATT